AAGCCAGAAAGAATCATAAAAGCACCCAACCAATATGTAACACTCATTAAAATTCCTTTGAATACAAAATCACCAATCAATGCCATAGGTATTGTCAGCGACAATCCGAGCGTAACGACTAATGGTGAAGTCATAAGCACTGCTAACAACCAAAGATAATCCGAAAGGAATGTACCTACCAGTGCGTTAATTATTATCATGAACCAAATAGTATTGTCTGGCGGCGGTTGGAAAGACTCGATTTTGAGCCAATCAAGCAACCAAAAAAAAGGCCATAATAAGAATACGTTAAAAATACCAACAAACCCGAAGAATAAGGGCATACTGACACAAGATTCATTTTGTATACGAAGCTTCAATAAAACCGTGTAACAACCGTAAAAGAATGCACCAAGGAGGGCGAGAAGGTCACCGAACAAAGGGTCGGACGGAGTTTCTGGATTGCCATCAGGTGTTTCTTGTGTACCTTCTTTGGAAATCAAAAAAACGCCGATAACACTGATAAACGGAAATATATGATAAAAAATACTTTTAATAAACAAAGGTTGTTAAAAGCATTTAAAATAATATAACTTTATTACCTAATCAAAACAGCGATAAATTTGAGAAACGATAATTTTTCTATTCCAGCAAGGGCACCAATACCCAAAGTAAAGAACCCTGCATGAAAATTTCATAAATATTATTATTAGTAATAAGTTGTAACCGACCACATATTATTGAAGACTTTGTCCGTACCTGACATTGAAGCCAAAATTGTACTACTCGCTACAGTAGTGAATGCAAGGGACGCATTACTGCTCCAATTTGCTAACGGGTGAAAGGAATAATATTAATAAAAAAGATTAACGAGAACCAAGTATCAATAACTAATTTAAGTTACCAGCAAACCATAATATGCAAAAGGTTAAGCCTAATTTTGCGACCTAACATGAAAAAATTGCTGAAGAGATAGTCTATATAAAAACAGAAGAAATTTATAAGCCATACCTCCCGCATCGACAACTTTCGTTCGTCACGAACCGATGAAAGTACATCATGAGGATCAATATGTGAATACGCTCCTGTATAATGATATAGAGTTATTCGATGTGTACGCATAAGAAAAAATCACAGATTATTCAACCCTAAAATGGTTGTACCACTTTGTGGCGCAGTAGCTATACGTAGTTCTACAGGCTGATACAGAATGTGTAAATTCCCAGAAAGTATATAACGAGGATCTAAAAGACAAATAAAGAAACGTTTATACTTACCGTTACATGTGTACCATCATCAGATTTTGCAGAATGCCCGCTTATGGATTCTGCTGATGACCGTGAGGAAGAATCATCATATAGAGCATGATTGAATTCCATAATTCTAAAGCATAAAAAATTCGGTAGAAATTAAGCAACAATTCCACATAATAATACCAAATTTCGATCTTTAAAAATTATTCTTTCTAGTATTAAACCGAAATTCTTCGCATTCTCCGCATTCTTCGCATTCTTCGCATTGTATGGAAAGTCTCAACAAACGCGTGCGTTATAACAAGTGAAATGGTTTCATACCTTTGTTTGTCAGTAGAACGATTTTTACTAAAGAGAAAAAATGCCAATAGGTATAGCGAAAAAGACGCGGTATTTATATACGTTATGGCAAATGGTTTATTATAATCTTGTCTCGCGAAAATGTTCTACAAAGAACAATAAGTAACTACAAGAATAATGAACGAATACGGTAAAAAAAACGAATGCTTACATTCATTAAGTACGAAGAGCCGACCCATATAACGACTACACAAAGTAGGGTTACGATACCAGCAGCATATCGCTGCCGTTCTTTTGCAAACATTTTCAAAGAAGTCTTTCCGGGGAAAAAGGCGAATACCGAAACATTGTTGCAGAAATATCGCATATATAACTAAGCCCATACCCCTGTTTATTATGCGCATATCGATGTGTGCTCACATAGATTCATGTGATAAGAATTATCTAAAAATATATTAATATCGATAACGATAATGACGCTCAAAGCTCATATTTTGTGATGTCTTCTCTAACTCGCACCATTAAAAATTTAATTAAAATCGGACCCAGAGAATATTTTATACAAATGCTGTACATCGGCGACACTAAAGCCGGTACCCTTGTTGGAATCGATCATTTTGGTAATAAATATTACGAGAATAAAGAAGAAATATACGGTACGTGTCCTATCATTTAAACACGAATCGGCTTTGCTTTACTATACGAAGTAACTTGTAACCAGTGTTTAATATTCAATGTTCTCATGGTTCTCAAAAAACATTTAATTTTTTTTAAGAACACTTATATTCAAAATAAGGTTTTCTTATTTGAGATTATTCTTTCAAAATGTTCTCAAAAAAAAGAAAAAAAAAAACAATATAATTCAACATAATGAACTAGTGCTCCGAAAATGTTATTCGGATCGAGTTTAGGGTCGAACTGAACCCAACTCAAGTAAAATTGGTTGTATTTTGATATCTATTATGTGTATAATTCTATTATTTTAAAGTTATTTTATAAAATTAAGTAATGCTTCAATAATTACAATTTGATTGAGTAGGCATAAAGGGTCTTGGAGTTGGGTTTTTAATTCGGGTTATTTGAATTAACTCAACCCTTTAGAAGCACTATAAAAAATTTTTCGAGAACATTAATAATTTAAATTAAACTTTTTTGAGAACATTAATTTGGATTTTAAACAGTGCTTGTAACGTTATGCTCACTATTGATTTGCAATTTCTATTTTCAGGTCGTGATCGATGGGTTGATTACGCGCAACACTACGGAGATTCTAGTCAGATCCCTCCAGAATGGTTCGTTAGATACTTCTTACCTCAAAGAAACTTTAATAAATCCTGTAAATTTGGTGAATTAGCGTTTTTTTTTTTGGGCCATACAGGCACAGATGGATACATAAGATCGTTGATACCCCACCAACTGTTGATCCACCACCACGTCCTAAGTATGTTCTCCCACATACGGAGAATTTAACAGGAACTCGAAAAGCTTACAGGCCATACAACACGACGGCACCCAAAATTACTCCATGGGAACCAAAACCTTTTAAAAGGGTGTGAGATTGATTCACGCAATTAATACGGATATAGTGTTGTGCGTCAAAATAGAATCTCACTAAATTTAGAATCCGCTTAATCGGATTCTAAATTGAAAATTTGAACCCATCATGCGGTTAGCGAATTTTGAACCACCTAAAGTTGATTCAAAGTCTATTTAGTTGGTAATTTTTAAAATTATAAACGATTAAAACTACAGTGCAGGACGTCTTAAAAACTAATAATTTTTAAAATTCTTCATAAAAATAAAAAATATAGCTAAAAAAAAATTTTTTTTGTAAAAATATACAAAAAAACAAGCAGAACAAAATTATTGAATTTATTTTTGATTTAATAAATTTTGATAATACAGATACTTTATAAAGTTACTAATAGAATATAAATTTGGCCACTTATATATAAAAACATAATAAATTTTTTTAAAAATACAGTATAATAAAATTTTAAGAAAATAACCAATCAAAATTTAATATTTTGTCTTAAATTTGGCCACTTTAAAAAAAGTTGATGGTTTAAGGTGTCCCGCACTGTATAATTAAAATTTGGATTTTTGTGTCGAGTGTTATTTAATGATAATTTTAAGCTTCACAGGTGAAATGATATCTAATAGGGTACCTATTGCTACCAGATTTTGGTGCAAAAGGAGTCAATAGTGTATCAATAGGCATCAATCAGAGTAATATTATTTTCTGATTGATACCTTATTGACCTCTTTTCGCGCCAAATTTTGGCAGCAATAAGGATGCCTATTGGTAATTCTGGCAGCAATAAGAATGTCTATTGGCACCCTACTAGATATCATTTTTTACCTGTGCTCGTATGCTTGTATCAGAGGAGTCAGAATTTCACAGGAAAAGATACAACTTTGTGGTGTTTCAAGGCAAACCCTTAAATTACATTGGATTTTTACAAGCTAGCTGCATTTAGATTTTACAATGCTTTTTGCATTTGCATTGATTAAGATATATGTGATAGTGATTTTTTACGCAGTCATAACTTTTGTTAAAATTTGTTAGAATTTCATAATTTTGAGAACACCTCACTCTCGTACTCAATTCGATATGTACACATTGTCTTCTAAATTCGATGAAACTGTATTCGAACCGATTTAAAAAAAAAATAGGAGGTTGAAGATTCGATTATTCTTTAATAAAACGAGTTTTATTAATAGTTGATCGAGTTTTATAAATCAATGTATTAAATTAAGTAGAAATTGAATTTTTTTATCACTCAAGTTTATTCAGAATTCCATTGCAACCTATGTCGGTTTTAGAATCGACAAAATTTGCTCAAGACATATTAGATATAACCATCAGGTCTGCTGCAACATCGCTTTATTCAACATGTCTTAAAATCCCTCAAATTCTTAATTTGAAATTTGAAATAAAATAACAACTTTTAATGATTTGTAGCATTGATTTAACAAAATTTAATGGGTTTTTAAATTTTACACTATTAACTGAAAATGAACATCTATTTAGATTTTCCAAATGAAGTGGAAATCCCGATTTCCAAATCAAAACTACGTAGTAATATCATAATTCAAAAAAATATTTGGATCGCAACTCTGTTTAAGCAAATGGTTTATATAACAATTATTTGAATATGCAAAATATTTCTCCTTTTAAGCAAAACGCGATAAAATAGTCTTTAATTAGATATACTTATTACCTCTTCGAGGGGCGCTTGTGTATCTGAAAATTCAACTTGTTGACCTATATTTATTTCCTTTGTACGCACTCGTTTATTCGGCTTCGATGGTCCATTAGGTTTAACAGAGTTTCTCCTCTTTGATTTGAAATTACGTAAAGGATCCCTACAAAAATCTTTGGACGCAGGAGGATCAAAGATTTTATCACCTTTCAACAAAAAGGGCAATGCAAATTAGTCAATTAGCAAAATATATAGTTTGTAATTAAACCTCATGAAACAAAATAATACCACTAATACTATATAATCGGACAATTTCTAAATAGGCTTCTTCTATAGAACCCTGGGAGATGATAACATTACGTTGTTGTTGAGAAATGTCCTCTCTTGATCTGAAATAATCGACCAACTTCTGCTTTGTCTCCTTTATTATTTGAGAGAAGTCACCTAATTGCTGTCCCTCTGCAAATATACGTGCTGCATGACAGTGCTTGCATACACTACGGAATCTTCCGTGCCAGATAAAATCGAGGCACATGGAACATTCACCGGTTTTTATATTGACTATATAATAACCTTTGCGTTCTACCACTCCCTGACGATTGGTAAAGCTATTAATCATTGGTTTCAAACTCTCCATAGCATTAGCATCCAGTTGTATTTGTTTACCATCGTACGGTGATGTAAAAGTTAGTGATGTTTCATTTATTCTTTTAACATAATAATAATTTGTTTCTTCTGCCGGCTCGACAAGATAATAAAGGAAATAAAGGCGGCCAAGGTTCAGGTGACATTGAATATCATTAGGTAAAGCTCGTTCCGATTGATCTTGCTGATTTTATTGTTTAATTAATAGTAACAATGAGTATGAAATTACGTAATATAATTAATATAATTGATAATTATTGTAGCAGCCGAAGCTGAGTTTTGAACCTATTGTACCCTTGATTGGAATCCTTCCGATTCGGAACCCTGCTGTCCTGATTCAAAATCGAGACACCAAGTTAAGTGGGTTATCCAGCTTAATGATATATAATTAATTATTATACTTATCCTAACCTTACTAGTTCTTTAGCGATTTTGAATAAGGACAATCGAATTCCAAATTGGATAGATTCCAATTCGGGGTACAATACACACATATATATATTTAAGGGGTTAGGTTAGGATTGTTAATAAAAGGGTTTGGCAGATTTTACATATTCAAATAAAGGCCCTAAATTTCAGCTTCGACTATCACAATTGGTAATTACCTGTGCTATTAATTGCGCATTAAGGAGTGCGACTAAGCTTGTTTGATCAGATTGTTCTACAGGCGCATCATCGGCATGCAAACTATCTCTTCGCAATTTTACTCCAAAAAGTCGTTCAAGGAATGCTAATGGCGTCATTTTGCCATCGAGCTGGGCTTCTACTTTACGACTGATTATTTCTGTCAAGTTATTAGACGTCATTGGTTTCTCATCCAAGAGGTCATCGAATATACGCCCGCAATCAATAATTTTATTACGCCACTCATCACTCATCCAATTGTTTTCCAATTCATCTTTTATAAGAGACTTTTGCTCAGGACCAATCGCCAATGCGTCTATAAAATTTTTAAATAATTTCATCAAATTATCAGCTTCTTCGTCTGAACGACTTCTTCCAACTATTTTGAAACCCATTGCGATTGGATATCTGACGAAATCGATTTATCAGACAAATTTTTATTAATATAACTCATAATTTGACAACCTGCATACCTTAGCAATTTTGGTACATCCCATGCTTTAAGTTTTTCTGCTAATTTCAACATTATATTTGTCCAAGAAAGGACAGTACCACGAACTTCACTTTCAATTTCATGCATTATTGATACATGCTGATCGATCATTGCTGTAGGATTCCAAGGGTTTATAGATGAACATTCACGGATTCGCCGAAAACCTTTATTATTAGGTAAGTCCTCATAGTACCAAGCATGATTACAATCTGATTTATTACACGGAAGGTTTGCCTTAATTGCGGAAATTGCAGCTCGCACTGGTATTTTATCATCACCATTACTTAAGGCTATAGTATGCACAAGTATACGGCTATGAATACGTAAAAACTGTCAAAATTAATCAATAAAAAAACTATAAAATGCCAGTACCAAATGCCAATGGTGTAAGATGTCCAGATTTTGTTTCAACCACCATAGTGAGGACTGTCGCACGATCCATATTTAGGCCATTGTTTCCATCAATACAGAAAAAATGTTGTCCAAAATCTCTACCATTACTCAGCCATAAATCATCCGATACAATGAGTTGGTAATAACGGTCAGGAGAATTTTCCTCAGCAGAAAGGTTGGGATTCTGATAGTATAGTACATGACCACGTGGTTTCAAAACATCTTGAATGTAATGTTGGAGAACTGTCCAAGGACCAGAATTGTCTTTAACTCTGCGATCGTCTCGTACAATTAGTCGCTTAAGTTGTTTGCTATTACAAATATCGCGATTTTTAACCACATCTTGATTGAGATCAGCTTCAGTAGCTCCTTTCTTTGATACTAATATCTTTGTCTTCACATCATCTGCTGTCCAGCGGTCCGCTCGACGACTTATAATAATTTGATCGCGTGCAGACCGTGTAAGATTGACTCGCGTAACTTGTGGTGAATGAACAACGAGAGCATTAGGAGGAATATGCCATCCATCAATCTTAATTCTTAATTGATGCGGAGTATTTATCCAGGAAAGACGCGATTCTGAGACAACACGTAATCGACAACGATGTCTGTCATTACTATTTTTTAAATTGTTCGGTAAATTAGCATTTGGGCAATCTGGGTTACATTTTCCAATCCCCCCGCATAAATGTTGACAAGTATTTCCGTCTCCTGCACAATACATAACCCAAGACCAGCAAAGCTTGTCTTTAGCCTTTCCAGAAGAAATCTTTTCAACTAGTTCGTTTCCTTTGGGAGTAAGTTCAATGACATCATCAATGCGATTGGTTGATTTTATATTTCCGTTAGATGTAGTCCATTCCACAAAGTCAACAGCACCTTCAACTCTTTTCAAGGTAATAATTCCTTCTTTTATAAGTTGAGGGGTTCTTAGACGACTGCGAGCCTTTAGTCGAATGTTTTTTAGTAAAGGATGCTTTGATATATAATATTCCGCAGCACGTCCGAAGGGAACACTAACGGAAGAGTCATCGTCATTATATTTAATAAGGTGGTCGTATGTTTCCATATTATATATACTATATAATAAATGGCTTGAGAAAGAAAAGAGAAAAACGCAAAGTGGCGAAGATATTGTGTTTGAAAAAAATATTCTTAAAACAATATAGAAATCAGGTAGAATATCAATAAAGTAACCAACACTTTTTTGTTGTTTCATATATATATGTCGTACCATATAGGATAACTTTCTTCTGATTGGTCAATCGCTTTCAATTGTATTTATACAGTTTAAAGTACTTTTTAAGAA